AATGAAGTCAGCGCAGGATGAGTTGAAATTGACTATATATGTAGTAAATCCCAATTATTAATGTTTTTAAAGGCAAATAAAAGCAACACTGAGATACCACTTCTAGTACTTAGCAGATTAACAAAGATTGTTTTAAATGTCTAAAATGAACGGTGTTGGTCAATTTCTATGAGAAAACAGATGCACCTAAACTCTAATACACCATTAGGAGGAGGATTAGTACATAAGTGAAGTGGGCTTGAAGATACTTCAAATCACCAGCCACCAGGTTGGATACTTATACTGCCAGGGTTCTGTCCTGCTCAAATGCTATTTACAAAACTTCAAAATGGTCACACTGTTTCAGGCTAGTTGATACATATTGGTGAAGATAAAAGAGTACATCCTACAATATGGATTACATCTCAAAGTAGCCAAAACAAAAATCCTCACAGCTGGACCAATAAACAATAACATGATAAACAGTGAAAAGACTGAAGTTGCTAAGATTTTTCTTTACTAGGAGCCCTGGTGGTATACCAGGATATTAATTGGGCAGCTAATCACAAGATCCACAGTTCAGAACCACCAGGCACTTTGTAAGAAAAAAAAATGAAGCTCCCCAAAAGATTTAGTCTCATAAACCTACAGGGGAGATCTCATAAACCCACGTACTCTGTCTTGTTGGGCTGCTACAAGTCAGAATTGGCTCAATGATAGTGAGTTTGGATTCACATGCTCATGGAAATAGCAGTCAATAAATCAAATGATGTATTGCATTGAGTAAATATGCTGCAAAAGAGATCTTTGAAATGTTAAAAGGCAACTATATCACTCACTTTGAAGACTAAAGTGTGCCTGACCCAAGCCATGGTATTTCACTTGCCTAATATGCATGTGAACACTGGATAATGAATAAGGAAGACCATGAAAGAATTGATGCTTTTGAATTGTGGTTCTGACAACAAATAGTAAATATACCATTGACTTCTAGAAGAAGGAACAAATCTGTGTTGGAAGAAGTATACCTTGAAAGCTCCTTAAAAGTGAAGATGACTAGTTTAATGTTTGTTGGTTTGTTATTAGGAGCAACTAATTCTTGGACACTGACATCATGCTTGGTACAGCAGAGGGTCAATGACAAAGAAGAAAACCCTGGGCCAGATGGAATGACACAGAGACTGCAGCAACACGCTCAAACATACTAACAATTGTGAAGATGGTGCAGGATTGGGCAGCATTTTATTCTCTTGCTATTAGAGTTTTAGGTCATTAAGAGGTGGAACTGGCTCAGCAGCACCTAACAACAACAACAACAACAGCTAAACTGCCAGTAGGTTACTTATGTTAGGTGCCATCGAATCAGTTCTGACCTATAGTGACCCCATGAACCACAGAAGAAAACACTGCTCACTCATGTGCTACCCTCATATTTTATCTTATGTGTGAGCTCATTGTTGTAGTCACTGTGTCAATGTATCTCTTCCAAGGCCTTCCTCTCCTTCACAGCCCCTCCATTTTACCAAGTATGATGTCCTTCACCAGGGACAAAGTCTCACCATCCTTGCTTCCAAGGAGTGATCTGGCTGTACTTCTTCTAAGATAGATTTTTGTGTCCTTTTGGTAGTCCAAGTTACTTTCAATATTCTTTGACAGTACCACAATTCAAACACATCAATTCTTTTTTAGTCTTCCTTATTTGATGTTCAACATCCACATGCATATGAGGTAACTGAAAATAGCATGGCTTGGATTAGGTGCACAGTAGTCTTCAAAGTAACCTCCTTGCTTTTCAACATTCTAAAGAGGTCTTGTGAGAGCCCCTGATGTTATCTATCTGTGCTTAAGTCTGGCTGGTGCCACTTGTCTCGCCAGTATCCCCCAAGAAACAGGCTCAGGCTGGAGCAAAAGAAGAAAGAGAAGTTCATTGAAGACAAAACTTTTGGACTAAAGAATAAGAAAGGAGCAAAACAACAGAAGTTTATCAACGCTGTTACTAATCAAGTTAAATTTGGTCAACAAAATCCATGTCATTTAGCACAAAGAGAAGCTGAAAATAAAGTGAAGAAAGATAACCAAAAAAAGCATCACAGGAGCTAAATCTGCAGTTGCTGCTCAAAAAATAAGTAAAGGTGCAGATCCCAAATCTGTGGTGTGTGCATTTTTCAATCAAAAAGAGTGCACTAAAGGAGATAAGTGTAAACTCCTTCATGACTTGACTGGAGAGAAAATGTGAAGAACAAAGTGTTTACATTGATGAAAGAGATGAAGAACCCAAAAAAGATACCATAGATAATTTGGTTGAGAAAGAAACTGGAAGAAGTAGTGAACAAGAAGCACAATGAAGTGGAAAGAAGAAAACAAAAACTAATAGTGTGAAAGCATTTCTTTGAAGTTATTGAAAACAAGTATGGCTGATTTTGGATATGCCCTGGAGAGGGTGATATGTGTATTTATCGTCATGCACTTCCCCCTGGATTTGTGTAGGAAAAAAGATCAAAGAAAGAAGAGCAAGAAGATGAAATTTCATTAAAAGACACCACTGAAAGAGAGCGTTCTGGCCTAGGTCCAAGTGTTAGCAAAATCACTCTAGAATCTTTTCTTGCATGGAAAAAATGAAAAGACAAGAAAAAATTTAAGAAACGTGGGCAAGATATGGAAAGAAGAAATTCTGACTTAAAAGCAGGGAAGCTCTAATGATCAGTGGTCATGATTGGTTTGAATTTCGTCCCAAACTGGTTGATTACAATGATGATGAAGAAACAGATGATACCCTTTACAGTCAGAGAATAGGTGGTGATGAGGTCGATGATTTGTGAACATAAAAGACAAAAATTTAAGCCTGTACATTCCAAGAGATGTAGATGACACAGGTATTACGGTAGCCAGTTTTAAAAGATTCAGCACATATTCTTCAGAAAAGATGAAAACAAATTAAGTGACACTTTCAGAGGTAGGGCAGAAAATGGGGGAAGAAATTATTTGGAAGAGGATAATAAAGGGGAGGCACAGGAAAATGGAGTCATTTATGCTGTTCCTATTGATGAAAATCTTTTCTCTGGGAAAGATTTGCATGAACTAGAAGAAGAATTAAACACGTTTGATTTAGAAGACTGACACAAAACAAGTTAAGGAATGAATGAAGTCAGTGCAGGATGAGTTGAAATTGACTGTGAATTTTTCCACCTGGAATTCTTAACAGAATATGTTTATTTACTGTGCTGATTGTGGAGGGCTAATCCTCTCCAAAAAAGGAATGTTCTCCGTATGTCTTTTCTCCTGATTTTGACTACATCTCATAGTGTGCTCATAGTAGTTCATGATAAATTGAAATATCATGGTCATTTCAGAAAATGATTGATTGCTGTAACTGTCCACTCAAGTAGAAAGTGTAACTGCTTTTCCAACTTTTGGTTTTCATTGGGCATGTGTTATTACCAGGAACAATATAAATCTAAATATAAAACATCTTTCATTTAATGCTTTTGTTGAGTGATTTAATTTCCTTTATATGTGTATATTAAAGAGACTGCCTAAAATATGAACACTAATTCATAAAAGAAAATTGCATATGCAGAGTCAATGTTGTGTCATCTTTGGACAATTAGATGAACAGTTGAGATGGACCTTCTTTGATATGGTAGTGTGTTCATCAGGGTTGACTAGAGAAACAAATCCAGAGATATTCATATGTGTATAAGAAAGAGCTTTATATAAAGAGTAATTGCATATTAAGAAAACATTCCAGCCCCATCCAGTTCAAGTCCATAAGTTTGAAATTAGCCTATATGTCTGATACCAGTTTATAAATTCCTCTTCAGAGTCACACAACGCATGCAACGATGCCGAATGCAGGAAGATCACAGGTCAGTGGTGGAAACTCTTATGGCTCCAGTAGCGGTGGAAGCAACTCAGCACTGACAGTGGTATCCACGTGGCTTCTCCAGCTCCAGGGCTCCAACTCTGGGGCTCTAGCCCCATCAGTGTACCTCTATTTGGCTTGTCAACAGGAATGTCTCCTAGCAGAGAGAGAGAGAAAGAGAGAGACAGAGACAGAGAGAGAGTATGAGGTCATCAAGCTGAGCCTGATTGACATGCTAAACTCCACCCCCTCACTCTTAGTAGTCTCAAGTTGACACCAGATTACGTAACTACCACAGATGGGATCAGCTGTGTTATTGTGTGTTAAACTGTTTAATTTTTTCCTCTTCCTTTTTCCAATAAAGTTCCAAATAAAGACCATCATACATTAAAATAAAAAACAAAGCAAAAACAAACAAAAATGAGGTCTTGTGCAGCAGATTTACCCAATGGAATGTGTGAATTCATTTCTTGACTACTGCTTCCATGAGTATTGATTGTGGATCCAAGCAAATTGAATTCCTTGACCATTTTAATCTCTCATTCACTGACCATGACCTATTGGTTCACTTGTGAGATTTTGGTCTTCTTGACATTGAGTTTTACTGAAATTTTCAGTAAGTAAGGTTATATCATCTGTATATCACAGGTTGTTAATAAATCTTCCTCCAATCCCAATGGCATGCTCTTCTTCATATAATCCAGCCTTTCTGAGTATTTGCTAAGTATTCAGATTGAATGAGTATGATGAGAGGATACAACCCTGATGCATAGCTTTACTAATTTAAACTATGTAGTATTCCCTTGTTTTGTTCACACAACTGCCTCTTGATTCATGTACAGGTTCTACATGAAGTGTTTTGGAATGCCCACTCTTCTCAAGGCTGTCCATAGTTTCTTAGCATTCACACAGTCAAATGCCTTAGCAAAGTCAGTGGAACACAAGTAAACATCTTTCTGATATTCTTTGCTTTGAGCCAAGATCTATCTGACATCAGCAATGATATTCCTTGTTCCAAGTTCTCTTCTGAATCCTGCCTGAACCTCTGATAGCTCCCTGTCAATGTACTGCTACAACCATTGTTGGATGATCTTCAGCAGAAGATGTTTTTCTTGCCTGTGATATCAATAATATTGTGCTATAATTTGAGCATTCCTTTGGGTCACCTTTCTTTGGAATGGGTACAAATATAGATCTCTTACAGTCAGTTGACTAAGTAACTGTCTTCCATGTTTCCTGGCATAGATGACTAACTGCTTCCATTGCTTCATCAGCTTGTTGAAACATTTCAGTTGGTATTCCATTAATTCCTGGACCCTTGTTTTAGACTAATGCTTTCAATGCAGCTTGGATTTCTTCCTTCAGAACCATTGGCTCTTGTTCATATGCTACCTCCTGAAATGATGGATGTCCACTAGTTCATTCCCCTCCCAGAATATGCATTTTATGTATTAATTTTTAATAAACAGTTTTATTAGGACATAATACAAATATCATACAATGCAATATCTCAAACATATCCAGAAGAATTGTACAATCATTACCATAATCAATTTTAGAACATTTTCTTTTGCTACAGGGACTCTGTGCAATCTTTCCAACTTCTTTTGGTGCTTCTTGCATCATTCAATGTTTTCCCCATAGAAAATTTCAATATTGCAATTTGAAGCTGGAATTTTTTCTTTCATTCTTTCAACTTGAAACATGCAGTGTGTTTTTCTGAGTCGGTTTCTAACTCTAGGCCTTTACACATTTCATTATAATATCTTATTTTGTCTTCTCAAGCTGTCATTTAATATTGTCTTTTTAGATCAATCTATTCTTGAGATATTCTTGAAATTCAGGTGGGATAGACTCAAGATCGTATTTTGTCTCTTATCGACCTGAACTTACAAAGGAGCAATTGACGGTCTGTTCCACAGTCAGTCCCTGGCCTAGTTTGAACTGCTGATATTGAGATTCTTCATCATTTATTCCCACAGATGTAGTCAATTTGATTTATGTGTATTCCATCTGGAGAAGTCCATGTATATAATCGCAATTTATGGTGTTGAAAAATGGTAATTTGCTATGAACAAGTTGTTGGTTGGTCTTGGAGTTCTATCATTCAATCTCCAGCTTCATTACTATCACCAAGACCATATTTTCCAGTTACTGGTCATTCCCTTTTGTTTCCAATTTTGCATTCTAATCACCAATAATTATCAATGTATCTTGATTGCATGTTTTAGCTATTTCCAACTGAAGACATTGGTCGAATTCTTCAATTCCTCATCATTAGCTTTCATGGTTGATGGCTACATATGAATAATACTTGTGTTGACTGGATTTTCTTGAAAGTGGATATATATAATCTTACAAAAGCCAGCATTATACTTCGAGATTGATTCTGAGACTGATAGCGCAGAGGTGTCACCCTGCAAAGGTCTCTCAGATCGACGGGTTGTGCATGCAAAGGACCGTTGCTTTTCCAAGTAGCTCTTTTCCAGGCTCTGCCCCTGTGGTCGGCATGGCACGTTGAATAAAAGAGAACTTGCCTGCCAGAAAAACATAAAGAAAACCCACGAGATTAGCAAGGGAAAAAGAAAAGAGGATAGCTTGACTACCTCTCAGAGGAAGCAGAGGGATTTTGAGATCATGCAACAAAAGCAGAAGGCCGCTAACGAGAAGTTGATGCAGACAAGAGAAAAATGATGACTGGATAATTTGGAAAACGTGGGTGCTACTGCCAACTAGGTGTATGATATGCTCTAAGATCAATATTTTGTAGGGTGAACAATCATTACATATGTTATAATTTATCTTTATAAAACGGTCTATTTTCTTAATTCATTTTATTGGGGGTTCATACAACTCTTATCACAAGCCATACACTCATCCATTGTGTGTCAAGCACATTTGTACATTTCTTGTCCTCATCATTCTCAAAACATCTGCTTTCTACTTGAGCCCTTGGTATCAGCTCCTCATTTTTCCCTCC